GAGCTTCCTGGACTTCCTGGAAGTCTATTTCCTTTGCCAGAATGGGGAAGTTCTCCTTTATTATTTGTTCAAATACGTGTTCAATCTGTTGCTTTTCTCCTTCCCATTCTGGTACCCCTATAATTCGGATGTTGGAACGTTTAAAGATGCCCTGGAGGTTCCTAAACTTCTCCTCGTTTTTTTGAAATCTTATTTCTTCATGCTTTCCTGCTTGGTTGTTTCTTGCTTCCTTCTGGTCCACTCTATTGTTTTGAGTCCCAGTTTCCTTCCCTTCACTATTGGCTCTCCGTGTATCTTCCTTCATCTCTTTTATGGTAACCTGCATTTTTTCATCTAATTTGCGCCCAAAATCAACCAATTCTGTGAGCTTCCTGATCATCAGTGTTTTGAACCGTGCATCTGATATATTGGCTATTTCTTAGTCATTCAAAAGGATGAGTCCTGGGGGACTGATCTGTTCTTCTGTTGGAGACATGTCTCTCTCTCTCTCTCTCCCTTTTTTTTTTTGGTCTGGTTGCTCTTGTTATGGTAAGGGGCGGAGCCTTAGGTGTTCACCAGGACTGGGCACCCCAGTCGCTAGATTGTGACGTTGTATGTGGGGGCGGGGGCGGGAAGGAACAATGGCGGTAGTTCCGATCTCCTGGGATCTCAGTCCCTTCTCTGCGATCCTGGGTTGCGCGCTTTGCCCTGATCCACAATGCCGCCTCACTGGGTCCACCAGCCGCCTCTTGCGTACTCAGGGTCCACCGCTGCAATCTTGCGCAACCCGGAAGGCTTACGTGCTCCGTGCCTTATGCGTTCAGTTCTCCCCAATCTCCGCGTCCCGAGACCCACACCCGCTCCTCTTCAACACCCCTCCTACTGGTCTGGATGAACGGGTCTACTTCAACTTCTTGGCTGCCCGACTTCCATTCAGATAAATTCTCTATCAGTTCTGGGTGTTATTCTGGCTCTAAATTGTTGTTGTTCTAATCTTGGTTGTGTGTGGGGTACGGTGTGTCCACCTATGCCTCCATCTTGCCGGAAGTCCTAAACTAATCTTTGATAAAAACGCAAGATACATAAGGAAGAAAAGATAGTTTCCACCCCGGGTGGTGTGGCTCAGTAAATTGAGAACCAGCCTGCAAAACAAAGGATCGCTGGTTCAATTCCCAGGCAGGGCACGCAGCTGGGTTGCACGCCGATTCCCCAGTTGGGGGCATGCAAGGGTGAACCACACACTGATATTTCTCTGCTGCTCTTTCTCCCACCCTTCCCCTCTGTCTAAAAATAAATAAATAAAATCTTTAAAAAAATTAAAAATTTCCTTAGGACTTCCGGCCAAGTTGGAGGCACAGGTAGACACACTGTGCCTCCTTGCACAACCAAGATAGGGACAACAATTTAGAAGCAGAATAACAATCAGAACTGACAGAAAATTGAACTGTATGGAAGTTGCACAACCAAGAAGTTAAAATAGATTCGTTCATCCAGACTGGTAGGAGGAGCGGAGTGACGCAGCTGGGCTCGGGTTGTGGCCTAGAGAGCAGAGATGATTGGGACCAGGTGCGGAAGGCATCCAGGGAGTGCAAGACCGCAGTGGGTGGACCCAGAGCGCGCAAGCAGCAGCTGGCAAACCCTGGCTGAGTGGTGGCAAATGGCAGACCCAGTGAGGCAGGAATTGTGAAGCAAGGCACTGTGCGCAACCCAAGATCACAGCGCTGAGAAATAGAGCCTCGGGACACTGATTGAAAATACCTGTGCAGGTTGAGGCGCAAGGAGAGACCCCTAGCCTTACAGGAGAGGTCCTTGGAAAGTTCCATGGAGTACACAAGCCCACCCACACGGGAATTGGCACCAGAGGGGCCCAGTTTGCTTAGGGGAAGCGACGGAAGGGATTGAGGTCCAACAGACAGCGGAGCAAAGCACCATTGTTCTCTCTTGGACCCCGCCCCCACATACAAGGTCACAACCCAGCAACTGGGGTGCCCCACCCTGGTGAACACCTAAGGCTCCGTCCCTCATACGTAACAGATGTGACGAGACCAAAGGGGGGGCAGAAGATGGATGAAAGCCCCTCAACCAGTACCTTTAAGCACGTGAGAGACAGCCAACCTATCAGATGCACAGTTCACAGAACTGGTGATCGGGATGCTCACAGAATTGGTTGATTTTGGTTGCAAATTAGATGAACAAATGCAGGCTACAATAAGAGAAATGAAGGAAAATGCACAGGGAACCAATAGTGATGGGAAGGAAACTGGAACTCAAAACAATAGAGTAGACCAGAAGGAAGAAAGAAACAACCAAACAGAAGAGAATGGAGAAATAAAAATTCAAAAAAAGGGAAGGAGCTTAGGAACCTCCAGGATATCTTTAAACGTTCCAACATACAAATTATAGGGGTACCAGAAGGGGAAGACAAAGAGCAACAAGTGGAAAACTTATTTGAACAAATAATAAAGGAGAACTTCCCCATTCTGGCAAAGGAAATAGACTTCCAGGAAGTCCAGGAAACTCAGAGAGTCCCAAAGAAGTTGGACCCAAGAAGGAACACACCAAGGCACATCATAATTACATTAAGCAAGGTAAAAATGAAGGAAAGAACCCTAGAAGCAGCAAGAGATAAGGAGACAGTTACCTACAAAGGAGTGACCATCAGACTGTCAGCTGATTTCTCAAAAGAGACTTTATAGGCAAGAAGGAAGGGGCTGGAAAGAAGTATTCCAAGTCATGAAAGACAAGGACCTACATCCCAGATTGCTCTACTCAGCAAAGCTCTCATTTAGAATGGAAGGGCAGGTAAAGTGCTTCTCAGATAAGGTCAAGTTAAAGGAGTTCATCATCACCAAGCCCTTATTTTATGAAATGTTAAAGGGACTTATCTAAGAAAAGAAGATAAAGAAAAAACATGTATAGTAAAATGACAGTAAACTCACAATTATTAACAACCACACCTAAAGCAAAACAAAAAGAAACTAAGCTAACAACTAGAACAGGAACAGACCCACAGAAATGGAGATCACATGGAGGGTTAGCAACAGGGGAGTGGGAGGAGGAGAGGAGGGAAAGGTATGGAGAATAAGTAGCATAGATGGCAGGTAGAAAATAGACAGAGGGAGGGCAAGAATAGTATGGGGATTATAGAAGTTAAAGAACTTATGACACATGGACATGAACTAAAGGGGGGGATGTGGGTGGGAGAGGGTATGCAGGGTGGAGAGGAATGAAGGGGGGTAATGGGATAACTGTAATAGCATAATCAATAAAATATATTTTTAAAAAGCTTCCTTAATAAATGGTATTGGGAAAATTGACATTTGTATGAAAAACAACAAACTGGAAACCACTGATAAAAATCACCTCAAATTGCATGAAAAATTAAGTATCAGCGCATAAACTTAACTTCATCAAGACAACCTAGAAAAGAAGTTTAAGAGATTTGCTTTTTTTAATCTATACAATTATTTATTTTAAAGATTTTATTTATACCGTCTTTTTGTGAAAGGGGAAGAGAGGGGAAGAAAGAGATGGTGGAACTATCAATATGCCACCCAAGCATCAATGTGTTGCCTTTACCACACCCCAATCTGGGGACAAGTCCAGCAACCCAGGCATGTTCCCTCACTGGGAATCCAACCTGCAGCCTTTCAACTTGCAGGACAATGCTCAACTCACTGACCTACACAGGTCAGGGTGGTATATTTCTTTTCCAAATGATTTTCTGAATAGAGAACCACTAGGCAAGAATGCAAATAAATACAATGCAGAACTCAACAAATGAAAAAGCTTCTTCACAAAACAAGAGCAATCAACAAAATGGAATGAAATGGCACTCCTGAGGAGTGTGGCTCATTTGGTTGGTGTCACCCTGCAAAACTAAAGGTGGCCTGCTGGATTACTGGACAGGTCACATGACTGGGTTGTAGGTTCACCCACTGGTTGGACTGGGAGACAGAGGCAAAGGATCAATGTTTCTGTATCACTTAGCTGTTTCTGCCTCTTTTTTTCCTCCCTTTACCTTTATCTAAAAATAGAAATCAATAGCATCTACAAAAAATGAAAAAATGAGAAAAAAAACAATCTCAGAATGGAAGAAAATGCTTGCAAACTATATAAAAATATGGCTTGGAGGTACTATGGCTTTGGTTCAAAAACCCAACATGAATTTATGGATTTCCCAGTGAATAATAAAGTTATGCCAATAATATACTACAGGGTATGAACAAAGAAACACCTTAGTTTACATAAAACTCTGTATCATCAGTTAAAAATAATTTAACAGCCCTGGCTGTTGTAGCTCAGTGGACTGAGTGTGGGCCTAACTGGTTCACTGGTTCGATTCCCAGTCAGGGAACATACCTGGGCTACAGGCCGGGTCCTTAATAGGGGGCATGCAAGAGGCAACCACACATTGATGTTTCTCACCCTCTATTTCTCCTTCCTTACCCCTCTGTCTAAAAATAAATGCAATCTTAAAAAAATAATTGAACACTGAATACTAATAATCTGCATCTGAGCCAGCTGAAAAACTGGCATCTAGACTTGCGGAACACACAGTTACCAAAAACACTAAAATTATATATATTAAATAAAGCAGTATCTGTGAAGCAAAAAGAAGCCATGTACCAATAGATAAAAAAGAATCAATATATAAAATACACAAGGGATTCAAAATATTTACTAGCCAAAAATGTAGGGACAATTGTCCAAAAATATATATACAAATGACCAACAAGAACACAAAAATGCGTCTTCTCATTAATGAAGGTGGTATGCATTTGGCTTCCTGCAACTACAAACTGTAAATCCTTCCCTATGAGTTCACTAAAATAGGTGTTGGTATTGCAGAGGGAGAAAAGAGCAGTGCAAACAAACCAACCCTAATAAGGAAAGGAACTACTCAGAAAACTGGAAAATCAAGCAGTGCTTACAGTCCACATAGAGCACCCCCTAGGAAGCATCGGGCATAAGGAAATGCAAAGCCCAGTTTTTATCCATGGCGAGAGTGAGGGTCTTACCCAGTGAGGATGCTAGTTCAAAATTGTCCAGCATCACATCCAAGTACAGGAATCTCTGATCTTCATTAAGCAGGCACCATTCTTCCCTGGAGAAGTACAAGGCAATGTCCGCAAAGGTCACACCAACCTGTCAGAATTGAGACAAATGAACCCAGGGCTGTTTGAGAATCACAGTCCTAGTCCTTACATATCCTACCCATGATCAATTTCCTCCAGGGCTCCCCAGTGCAGTATGGACACCAAGCCCTAATGCCAGGGCTGATTGCTCTCTCATCACAACCCAATTCATTATTGTTCACACATTCAGCAGCAGCAACTTGCTTAGGGGACACAGGGGATGGCAGATCAATGCCATCTAAGCCTTGGTCCATGACTGCAGGGTCCCATCCTTCCTGACAAACATTCCAAACATTCCACTGAGTCTCCCAGATCATCCCTCCAAAGCACAATCATCGTTATGCCCCACACCAGGGTCCAGGACCATCACCTCACATTTCCTCCAGCTGTGCACACCACTGTGGAATGTCTTTCTCTTGCACATCTTAAAACTCCATGTTCACTCTCTCAGCTCCGCCACCTTTCTACTCTATAGCACAGGTATCACTCTGGACTCAACCAAAAGCTAGGCATATGGCATCCAGAGAGGGCTTGGCAGGTTCCAGCAGGATCCAGAACAGCCCCCGTTTTCTAATGGGCCCCACAGCCCGCCAAAGCCCCGAATGAGGCGCTCAAGTCCTCCCTGCCTGCCTCATGATCTTTCCTTCAACAGTCACCAATCAGATCATCATGGGAAATCCAGATACGAATATCTCCGTTCACTTTGCATCGTACTTGCTGTGTCCTAAAAAACCACAACACTCTCTCCAATGAGCTTTCCTCAAGGTCCTCCACGCAGGTCCTGGGCGGCAGGACATTCGTACACCCGGACATAGGGTTCGCTGTGGTGAGGCGCCAGTGGGGGGAAGGTGTGAGGGGACTTGCACTGAGGGGACTTGCACTCACCTCCGCGGGGCGTCTCCTCAAGGCCGCCAAAGGACACCGTGAGAGAGGCTGGGAGGTAGCAAAAGTACAGGAGGACGCCCCCGGCTTGACTGCCCCTGTCTCCGCCCTGGCGCGGGTCACATGGGAAGTGTCGCTCAGCTTCTTGCTATCGTGTGTGCTGTGTGGACCGCGACTATGGCGCCTTCCCTGCCCCGGCATCTCCACCCGCACTCAGAGACCTGGAGCTTCAGAGCACAAACTTGAGCAGATTATGGCTGAAGCAAAATGCCCGCTGCAGCGAGACTCCGGAAGTCCCGCCCCTATCGGGCTCTCCCAACGGAAACGTCTTTTCGACCCTTCACTGGGTAGGCGTGGCGGTATTCCTCTCAGGGTGTTATGGGTAATTTGGGTCTGAGCGGCCAAGGCTGAGATCAGAGGTTTCCCCACATCACTTCCGCAGAAAAGGCCAAGAGCCGCCTCTTGGGGTGCTGGGAAATGACAGATGGTCAGGAAAGTCACATCTTACAAATGGCTAATGAAAATTGTCATCCTTTCCTGGTGATGGGGTTTGAGTCCATATTAATAAACACACATTATCTGTGAGACCAATACAGCGAGTCATAATAAAAGAGGTACGTCTGGATTACAGAGTCTGGAAAATTTTCTCACACAAATGATCTACTTACACCATCATATATGTATGTGACAAATATAATACAATACTGTACGACAAGCCTTTGAAGGAAACAAGAAGTTGCCTATCGTTTATAGTTCGAACATCAATTAATATAAATTTTTTTAAGTGTGAGAATTGAATTCTGACAGTTATTGATGTTTTTGTTAATGTGTAAGTCCTATGGTATTTATCATAGTGAAAGAGAATTTGTACTTTATAGACATCATACAAAATATTTCAGGCATTCTCAATGTGTTCAAATTACAAACATTTATGAGTTATACTTAGGGCAGAAAGACAGGGTAAGAAACATCGATGATGTTCGAGAGAAACAAGAATCGGTTGCCCTTCAGATATCCTCAACTGGGGAACTGGCTTGCAACCCAGGCATGTACCCTGACTCGAACTCGAATCGAACCTGCACCCTTTTGGTTCACAGGCAGGCACTGAATCCACTGAGCCACACCAGCCAGGGCTTACTTACTGTGTGATCTTAAAACCGTCAGGATCCTCGTGCTTGGTACTCCTGAGTGCTGCTCAGTTTATGTTTCCATATCATCTATCACCCAACAGTTTCTACAACAAAAGTTATTCTCTTTCAACTCATGGCTACTCCTTCAATAAAGCCATTGAACAAGCCCGGTTGTGATCACATTTCTTTATTCACGGGTGTATATCACAGACCTAGATAAGCCTTGGAAGCAGCAAAATAATTAGTAATGGCTTGTTAAAGCAATGAAACATAATACCATGGCTATTGTTTCACAATTCTAATTTTATCTGCTCACACCTTACATTATCCTTCTCACCTCACTTTTTTCCCTCAAGTTCTAATGAATAAATAGGACTCAATTTGTAGAAACAATTTTGATAACCACATTTCCAGCATAGCTATAGAATATGTAAATTCTCTCATCTCTTAGAACTTAACGTCCATTACCTCCCATTGAAACTTAACCAATTCTCAGGCTTCAGAGCCTTTTGTCTTCCAGCTATTTCAAAAGTGTTCACTTTATAACTCCACTAATCATCATTCATACCTTTCTGCAGTTTGCTCATCCCTTAACTTCACACCAGAAATAATCTGTAGTCCCATGCAGACACTCTCACTGTATTTACAGGTGTAAATGATCATCATTTCCCAGCAAGGGGGTTAAATCCTGAAAGGAAAAATTATTCTCTCGGAATAATTCACTTTCCTAACCTAACATGTTCACTTTCCCAACCTAAACAGAGGCCAACATGCACCTATCCTACACTGAATATAAATTTGGTACGTAGTCCTTATTCACAGGTACACGTCATACTCTTAGATTTTTGGAACAGACCATGTCTCAAAATGTTCAGTAAGAACTGCCACATGCAAATATGGATGAAATGATGATTATTTCCCAGCGAGATGAGATCTTTGAATCCAAAACGTTTTTCTCAGGATCAGATGCCCACTTTCAACACTTTTATGTATGATGACATTGTAGACATCTTGGTAGCAAATGGAACCATACTCCCAGATATATGCTTTATTGTTAGAAACAATAAGCCATATCCCCAAAATACATTAAGAAATGTTATGGAGGAAAATAAGTATTTCCTGAGACTGCAGAACAAGCATCAAGAAACAGCCAGGTACAATATACTCTGAGGAAACTAATGGTTTGGAGAAACCATATCTACTTGCTTTGGGGATGCCAAGTATCTCCCCTCCATGTTCCCTCTATACCCGTCTAAAGTATTCTCCCTCTGAACACTCTGTGAGCACCTTGGACCTAATGATGTTCACAATAAAAGCTTTGCTACCTATGAAGTGAAGAGAATGAAAACTTTGTGTTTTATTCAGTACATGAGTGAACTTTAATGTTTTGATAGCAATTGTTGTATATTCATTTTTCACCATTACAGAGCATGAATTACAAATGTAATCTTCAGGAACATTTTAGTAACATGTCTTTGGTAAAGGTGGATGTTAAATCTTCCTGCTGGCTTTAGTGAAAGCAACACATTCTTTAAAAGCATGCTAATAAAATATAAATAGCGAGATAATAACACATGTAAAGAACCTCAAAGCTACAAATAACATTGATGTTAGAACTCAGTATTTACAATTCAAATGGTGCAACTTTCCTAATATCTGCTCTGTGCTTAGAAGACCTTGGCTGTGGCTGTGGTTAGTATTCTCTGTAACTTCCATTTTATTTTTCTTACAATAAAGAAAAGTGTCCCAAGTGTCCTGTGTCCTAAGAAGTGTGGTTGTATCTGTCTGCTAACTGGAACCTGGGCAAGGGGCCTCTGCTGTGGCCCAGGATGGATAAATTCATAGTGCTAACTTCAAAGCTAAGAATATTTCTCAGTAAAAACATTTCACTTACTAATATATCATTAATAAATATATAAATATATATGTAAAATGCAAGAAATATAGTGTTAGACTTATTACAATGGAATATAAATCAATGTTTGCTTACAGAGCTGTGAAGGGCTGAGAAAGCATAAAATGGCCATGAAATAAACTGCCAGTGACAGTAATGATCAGTATTATGATGATGATGGTTTTAGTATTATGTATAAGTGAAGACTAATTAATTATACTTGAAATATGTTTACTAAAATCCATATATCCAACTCATTTTGAAAATAGGTTTAGCAGCTCTATATTCAAAACACACTCTCATGTGCTCTGGATGAGAATTTACCTCAGTCACAGTGAATATAGACTACAAGAGCCCTACTGGTGTGGCTCAGTGGATTGAGTACCAGCCAGCAGACTAAAGGGTCACCAGTTCAATTCCCAGTCAGGGTACCTGCCTGGATTGTGGGCCAGGTGCACAGTTTGTGTGAGGCAACCAACTGATGTGTCTCTCACACATCATGTTTCTTTCCCTTTCTAAATCCCTTCCTTCCCTTCTCTCTGAAGATAAATAAATAAAATCTATTTTAAAAATAGCCAATAAAAACTCACTGAAACCAACAGGACTGCTGTCCATTTCAAAATTGTGACATCCCTCAACTATAGATACACATTTTTTCTTTCCACAGGGCACCAGTGGCTCTGACATGAACATCTGACGGAAGACAGAAATCCACAAATTTTTAAAAAAAAATTTTATTGACTTAAAAGAGAAGTCTGTATTTGTTGTTCCACTTACATGTGCATTTATTTGTTGCTTCTTGAATGTGCTGTGACTGAAGTTTAAAATCAGAACTGAAGCATATCAAGATGACACTCTAATTAATTGATCTACCTGGTCACAGCCACAAAAACTTTTGATTATATTCAATCATAGTGACTGAATCAACAGAAGATAAATGTTCCTGCAGATCCTGTGATTTTTGTACACACCAACCTTGTGGTCTTTTTCTAAGAAATATTTCTGAATGCACACTCAAAAGAGGCACATTCATTCTAGTTGGCTGCAGTCTCCTCCAACACCTATTAGGCCAGGGTTTCTGTTGCAATCAGTTTTCCCTAACCTCTATGGTGCTGCGAATAGTGACTATCACCCATGTAATCACAGACATTATGGCACATAGCCCTGTGGAAAGCCTGGGCCCACAGACTCACTACAATACTAATCACATCCTTGACAAACAATAAAATCATGCTGCTCCCAGAGTACTTGAGGATGTCATAGCTACCCCTTCTTTGGCATGATCTCTGTGTGTCTTTGAACTCACAGCATTGAGGCTTCTCATGAGAACTAAAGAGCCCACAGTCTTGCCTAGGTGGATGTGAGCAGGATGCAGGCTTACAAAAAACCACTGAATTAATTCTATACTAACAGTCCGCATAGAAGCAAAGAAAGTTTGAGACATACATAAAAGGTGTTCATGCCTTTATGCTTGTACAGAAGATAACTGTTTCTAAACTACTACACATAATAAATAGAGCAGTAAGATTAAAGAAGACTTAGGAAAAAAGTCTTGATGATTTTACTAACCAAGGAATATTAGCTTGGCAGTTCTTGTATTGGTGATTTGACACTCAAAAATTATCACTGGTATGGAAAAAAACATGTCCCCCAAAGGAAGTCCTTCTGCAAACTGACAGCTGAATTCCGATGATTTTCTCTGGGCCAAAACTGAGTCCAATCTGCACCAGCTAGTAGGAGTACAAAGAATAACCCCTACAAAGCATCTCCTGGAACCTTTTAGGTGCTGCAGGTGAAATACCATCAGCACAGAAATTTGCAGTGGCATGAACTGGAAAGAGTCCTGGGTAAACAGTAAGTGCAACATGGACATACATGGTTCCCATATAAAAAAGAAATTTATGGGGAACCTCCCTAGTGTTTATGTTTGGCAGTATGAGATCTGATTCCCACAAACAAGGCTTCAAAGAGTTCCCTACACTATTGTTTAATTGAAAAAAAAAACAAAACCCTGAACATTTCTGATGCATCTCAGTTTATCCACCCATTTGAACTCTTATGTGCAGAAAAAGGTTATAATTTTGGCTAAAAGATTTCTGACATTAACTATACTTACATGGCCTTTCTCCTGTGTGAAGTCTCTCATGATGAAGTAGTTGATACTTTTGGATGACTGCACTTATAAGGTCTTTCTCCTGAATGAACTCTGTGATGATAATGGACGGCAGTGCTACTGGTAAAA